ACTGGAATTTCTTAACTGGAAATTTCTTTTTGTACTTACAACAGTAATTAATTGTGACAAAGTTACAGAGCTATTGAAGTTTGATTGTGGGAAATGACATGGAATATTCCCATTTTAACTGCAAAAGTGATTGTTTAATACTCCTATTTTCCTAACAAAATGGAGATCCATAAGGACATCACTATCTGCATTTCAGCTAAGAGAACATATGAAAAACCAAAACATGAGGCCATGTAATACAGCCCTTTTTTAGAGATCATGAAGTGACAGTTCAATTTGTCGCTGCATTGAATGCAGCTGACCACTGAGGAAAATGGATCCTCTGTCTACAGTGGTCACGTTCTGAAATGAATCCCTTCACTGTATCACACTGTTAGTAAGATTTATACATTCTGTGAAAAGCAAGGCATTTCCATCAAAACAGATTGAGTTTAATATAATACAAGTTAAAATTTTTGCCCATATGTGTGGTAATAAGATTCTGCTCTAGAACTTAATTTCTTGGATGGGACTTTTCAATTTCAACCCCAGATTCATTCAACAGTCTATATTTACTTAATTCTTTGCCACCATTACACGTCTTCCCTTAGCTCTCATTTTACTAGGACAAAACAATCCAAGTGGGTTGGGCTTATTTTGCCCTATTCATTCTTCTTTTGCATCTATTCCTTTTTTATCTCAGTACTTCTTCCATCATTACGGAGCATGACAATTGTACACAGTGTCTCATGTGGAGTCTTCCCATATTGTCTAGAAGGCCATTGACAGTACTCTGGGAAATACTCTCAGTTCAACATCACTTGATTTTCAAAGGAAATGTTGCTTTTCTTTTCAACAATCCCTTTTCTTACTCAGTTTAAAGTGCTGGGCCTTTGTTAACTCTCCACTATTCAGGTCTAAATGTCAGCAAGACTATTATTACTATACAATAATACAGGTTACTACAATTGCAAATGGATTTATTGGATGAAGAAAAAGAGGTACAAAACTGTATCTACAAGATAGGACAGAAGCCAAAAAAAAAAAGGGATATCAAATGTTTCTTACATTTTTTGTGGGGGAAGTGCTGGATATTGTACTTATTGCTACATCACATAGAAGTTATGTATGTCATTTTCCAGTTTATAAGTGTAGCTATCATATTTATTATAGTCATTATTTATCTTGTATTCCGCCAAAAAAGGTGGTTTGAGGTTCAGTAACTCGATCGCCTTCTATGACAAGGTGACTTGCTTAGCAGATAAGGCTGTGAATATTGTCTATTCGGACTTTAGTAAAGCCTTGGTCACCATTTCCCACAGCATTCTCCTGGAGAAACTGGCTGCCCAGAGTGTGGTGGTAAAGGGAGTTACATCCTGCTGGTGGCTGGTCACAAGTAGTGCTCCACAGGGCTCAGTACTTGGGCCAATCCTATTTAATACCTTTATCAATGATCTGGACAAAGGGATCGAGGGCACCCTCTGTCAGTTTGCAGACACCACCAAACTGACTGGGTGGGAGTCTTGATCTGCTGGAGGGTAGGAAGGCTCTGCAGAGGGATCTGGACAGGCTGCATCCATTGGCCGAGGCCAGCGGTATCAGGTTCTAAAAGGCAAAGTGCCAGGTGCTACAGCTGGTTCACAACAACCCCAGACAGTGCTACAGACTTGGGACAGAGTGGCTGGAAAGCTGCCTGGCAGAAAAGGACCTGGGGGTGCTGGTCGACAGCTGAACATGAGCCAGCAGTGTGCCCAGGTGGCCAAGGAGGCCAATGGCATCCTGGCCTGTATCAGAAACAGTATGGCCAGCAGGACTAAGGTGGCCACAACCTTAGTGATCTTCCCCCTGTACTCAGCACTGTAATTGCTGAAAATGTCTTTTTAATTAGAAAATGTGGAAAAAAGCCTAAAGCTCTTAGGTTGAACTACAAGTACAAACATGAGGTATTACAAATGCAGAAAATTTGGTTATGAGTTATATGAAATAACACAACTGTCATCCACAATGAATGCCTTCAGTCTTTCAAGCACTGCACAAGGAATATATATATGCGCTTTCACTTCCCTGTATTGAGTTCCTTACCGCTCTGCTGTCATTCTCAAAGCAAGGAGAAACATTAGTGTGACAGCACAGGACATATCCACAATGATGTTCAAAGACTTTTGCTATTTTTCTAGAGATGGCAGACATACCGATTTACCTCAGGACAGAGCAACCTTCAGATCCAACACTTGAAAATGCACTGGGACTGCTGTGATAACTCACATAACTGAGTTTGAGATGTAGATATTCAAAGATGCTGACATAAAGAAATGAAATCTTGGCCCCACTGGAGTTGGAGCAGATTCAGCTTTGATGTCAGCACGACTGTGATTTTAACAGTGATTTTAGAAATGTCAGGCATGGCTCATGAGTCTAATTGACAGAAACATTTTGACGAATGTCAAATTTTAAAATACCATTTTTACCTCAAGCATTTGACTTGCTTCTGTGCAGATCCTAGGTACATTTTTTTACAGCACAATATAGGACACACTACACTTTTATTTCTATGCACACAGCTCGGATAGTGCAATCCTCAACTGCTGTAGTTATTTGCTTGGATGTGGAACAACACTGAGGAACTCCAGCTTTGTGCCTGCATAGCTATACTATTGACAATTCTGAGCTGTGTAACAGTAATTTCAAATAGTTAAGTGGGAAAACAAAAAAACCCACTTTTATATCAGTAAGAATTCATCTCAAGTACCCAGCCTTTCTGTAGTGAATATTCAGCATCTTATGGAAACCAAACTACAATCAGCTCTTCTACTGCATCTACATTTCCTTCTACTACTTCCATAGAGGTCCTACAAAAACAGCTGCAAGTCAATTATTCAGACTGGAAAGCAATGTAAATTTTTCTTTTTCCTCTAGTCTCCACCATGTGCTTTGCTATCAAACAATGCCAAAACCAGAATATAAATGAGGCTAGAAAATATCCTTATAAAATACACATGTATATGTATACACATGCTGTATACATTATTCCAGGTGCATATAGCATACTGAACTGCTAAACAGCTTTCTGCATGGACTTCACGGGAACAGAGACCCTGTTATGAACTACTCCCTCCCTATTTTTTTTCCATACACTCGGGCTATTGTGACATCTTCTTTCCCGGCAGTGCTTCCTTTCTCTTGAACTTTTACCCTCTCTGCTTGAACCCTTCAATGAATGACAATGAAACAAAAGGGGAGAAAAATGAAGAGAACTGTAATTAACAAGATGATGACTGCTCCAGCTCCTCAGAGATATCCTTAGAGAGTGACTCTCTGAGCTCATCAGCACAACAGAAGATAGCAGTGTCAGGGATAAACTGAAAAAAAACCAGATAAGCTAGAGACAGTTATTTTTAAGTCCCATTTTATTGACAGAATATAACATCAGTGAAATTAAGGCAGCATCCAATTTAGACTGGCCTTATGTTTTTATGCTATAGCTGCTCAAGTGGATTGTATGGTTAAAACCATATTTCAGCTCCCCAAAATCTTATGTCATGTGTGTTTGGACAGTATCAAAAGAGTAATATTGTGAGAAAAGTCTGTTAATGGTCAGTTATTCAATGCAGTATTGGCAAATACCTGGAGAGGTGCTGTAGATAGATAGGCTGCTGAATTTTAAACACCTACTGAGCCTAATCTCTTTCATCTAGTTGTACCTTGAGTAATACAGGAGCTAATACAGATTGGAGAACTTCAAATATATGCCTCAAGCATGCACATATATATTACAGCAGTAAAACCCAATAGTAAACCTGTTCCTTAGGCATTGTTAATAGGATTTGGATAATCGCAGAAAAAGCCCTTGGTGCTGAAATTTATTCTTTTTGTTTACATCACATTACCTAATGGGACTGTGTGAAGCTGAAAAGAAAACAACGGATTGACATGAATGTTCCAGTAGAAAAACATGGCAATGTCAGTGAGGCCTCCGTGCAAGTTAATAATTTGTTTTACTTTATTCCGCATTTGCTTATCTCAAGGAATATTTTCAAATGAAAATCACATGCTTGTACTTTTTAGCTGAAGTTAAGTGCTAAGATAACGGGTTTTAAAATGTCCACTGTGGGGATTGGAAGATGCCCTATCAGGAGTGCTTGGTACACACCTCACATGGGGTCTGCTCTGAGAATGCTTCTTAGTCATTTTCTTCACCACAAAATCCATCAGTGATGTTTCATGTGCCCTTTGCTGCTGGAAGCTGTGCTATTCTACCCCTTGGCCAATGAGATAAAATTATATATTCCATAAAATTACTGAATATTGCATTTCTAATCCCAGCATCTATTAAAACCATTGCTGCTACCTGCTAAGGAAAGACAGACCAAGTTAGGTAAAGAGAGGTTGAAGCCCAACAAGAATAGTTAATTATTAACTGGGAAGTTAGAAAGAGGGATGACCCACAGAGGTAGAGTATCCCTCGGAGTCCAACATGCCCTCCTCCCTGTCATCCATGGACTACTCCTTATATACAGTCAGGTTCATTCTTTCACGCAATAAGATGGAAGGAAAAGCAGATTCTTCTGCTTTTTCCCTTTGTTCTGATTTCTGTCTTTTGTCAGTCAGCACACAGTCCAATGAAAGGACGAGAGAAAAGCAGTCACAAGTAAAATTCACTTTCAAGGGGGATTTTACCGATGCCAAACTACTGTACCATCAGCAGTTATTGGTTACACACTATAAACTTTTATTTCCCTGCTTGCTGGCCACATGATACCAGAACTCCCTGTTGGCCCCAGAAGGCAGATGCCTGCTGCTGGTACATGACCAAAGTAAAATGTAAGTTGCGTGTCTCCTTGGCTACTATATGGCCATTTTCCTAAGCAATCTTTGGCTGATGAAGTTCTGTGCTCTCTCATAAGGACTGTCACGTGGTGGAGGAAGAGGTGGGGGGTTGATTCCTTGTTTCTATGATTTGTAAAAAGGTAAATGTTTATCTCAGTTTTGGCACTGAGAAGAAGAGCAGAGAGGGTTTTAAAGGCACTTTGCACCTAACTACTCATGAAACAACACTGTTATTCTCACACAGCAGGTGTAAGCAGAAGAAACAGAGGCATAACAACTTAGCAATGCAAAATGAGCTCCAGGCATCAGGTAATTGTACCTTTTTTTTTGCTTTTAAAATCCCTAACAGCACTGAATCACATGCGGTCAATCTGACCTGTTCTTGATGCTGTTCGCAGCAGTAGAAAGTCTTTGTGACTCACACTTTCAATCAGAAGGACATTTTAGATTATTCACATATGGAGAGAAAAAAGCAAAACAACAAATTATTTATTTGTATTCATTTTATGACCTGAAAGGGCTCCATTTTTCATTATTTGTACTGAAGTTAGGGTGTTTTAAAAGTATTTATCCAAAAGATGTGATTTCATCATACAGCCTCCAAAACAAATATATTTAGTTCCATTATATGTGACCTATCTTTCTGACTTTCTTTTGAGATATAAAATATTATGGAGAGGTAGAAGCATGTGATCCAGAGAAGCAATGCAGCAATGCCAAATGTTTGAAATTCAAAGGTATTGGCAGTTCCCTGGGGCAGGTATTTCAGTGTCGTGAGAGCCAGAACCCTCTGCAATGAACATAGTGGCTCTGAATGGCTCAGACATAGCTTCTTGAGGGCAGCGGAGCTGGTGAAGGATCTGGAGCACAAATTCTATGAGGAGCAGCTGAGGGAGCTGAGGGTATTTAGCCTGGAGAAAAGGAGGCTCAAGAGAGACCTTGTCACTCTCTATGACTACCTGAAAGGAGGATGTATTTAGGTGGGAGCTGGTCTCTTCTCCCAAGAAATAAATGATAGCACAAGAGGAAATAGCCTCAAGTTGTCCCAGGGGAGGTTTAAATTGGACATTAAGAAAAATGTCTTCATCAGCAGGGTTGCCAAGCACTGGAACAGACTGCCCAAGGAAGTGGTTGAATCACCATCCCTGAAGACATTTAAAAGACATAGAGACATGGTGTTTGGGGGCATGTGTTAGTGGTGGACTTAGCAGTGTTGAGTTAATGGTTGGACTCAATGAACTTACAGATCTTTTCTAACCTAAACAATTCTATGATTCTCTGTGTTTTTGTCAACTGGTTCCTTCACATTCCATAAATGGTGCTTCTGTGGAAAGGGTAGAGAGAGACGAGCACTTACCCAGAAACAAAGCATGCAGTCAACAGGAATGGGCATCCTCCCTGACTCTACCAGAGGTGACTGGTAGAGTCACCAAGCACCTGCAGAAACAAGCCGCGCATCCACTACCAGGAATGCAAGCAGTGACATTATTCTTCCTCTGTTCCTTTGCTCCAGGACACCAGGTCGCAGGTCAGAGTCGGAGGCTGATCATCATCTCTTATGGCCAACCTCTGCACAGCACTGTCCCCAAACAGGCAGGTCCCAGGAAGAGGCTCATTAGCCGTGCACTGTCCTAATGGCTGCATGGCTTCCCGGTCAGATCTGGGCTGTGACCACCAGCTGGAAGCACCAACGAAGTAACTCTGCTCCCTAGAAAGTCTGCACTCTCCAGTCAATTATCTTTGAGAATTTGGTGTATGTAGTGATTTGATTAAAAACAGGGATCTTTCTCAGGTTGAGTAATACATACTCTTTTTTCATATGATTTAAGTGTACAGGTCCCATGCAGTAATGACTTAGGATATAGACAGAAAAGTTTTGCTGATGAATGTAAAATAACTGCAGGTGCATGTAGAAAAATGTTATCTATTTATAAACCACCTTGTAGTTAAAAATACAAACAATATTAAAAAATGGATGGAGAGAAAAAAGTTTAGCTCTCAGCACTAATTCTAGCTCTTGTAATTAAGTGTAATCCATAAATACCAAGGGATTGTCCATTTGGACCAGATTATATGTTTCAGTTCCTAGAAGAAGAAAAAGTTATTACTTTTTTGCCATGCATTAAATTTAATATTAGTTACCATGTTGGAAAGAATAATGGGAAAAACCTTTCCTTGGATTGTGAGAAGGTGAAATCTAATATCTTCCAGTTAATCCCATTATGATTATTATATATGGCTCTAGTTTGGGTTCATTCATAGATTGCACAAATATTACTAAATAAGGCTTCAGGCAAGTATACATGAATTTTTCTAAATTGTGATCAGGCCTCAGTGCAGTGGCTGCCAGGTAATGGATTAACGAGCTGTCAGTATTAAATTCATTTATTTCTCTATATCATTTAAAGAGCAGGTGGCCTCTAACTATACCAATCTGAACACAACGCTCTTAAAGCCACACAGCTTTTTGCAGAGAAATAGGAGGAGCAGCAGCAGATTTCATTTATCAGGAATAACGTTCTGTTCCTGACCTTCCATCTCCAGCACCTAGGTAGAGTCACTCTGCTGGTGCTATTGACCCTGCACATTTTATGCAGACTGGGGTGGATTGATGATAAATATACTGAAAAATTATAGACTTGCTGTAACTTGAAATTAAGTAAGGCCTTGAAAGAAAAGCCTTCAAAGGACTAAAAATGTGTGCATGCATGCATGTATTTGTTCAAAAAAGCATGTAGTGATTTACTGGACTGTGTTCTGCAGATATGCGCATATGTGGGTTTCAGTGAATTGTAAGGTGTGCAAGTCAGTGCAAAATTTGTCTTACCCTTCTCCAAAGTCAAATCAGTCCTGGCTGCCTCTGTCACATAAACAGTGTAAGTTCAGATACAATTGAAATATGTGAATTAGCCTGATGGATTTACTAAAAAGTAAAACCAAAAGTGCTGAAAAATTTCACAGTTATTTAAAAATAAGAAGGATAACCTTTAGTTTACTCTGGTTATATTGTCCCTTTTTGTCCCTCTCTTTTCAGTGTACTAGAGCAAATAAAATATTTGGCCTTGAAAAAATGAAAAAGGGTGGGAAAGAGTTCCATTTTGACCTTTAACTAAGCAGCTCATCTGATTGAATCTCTGTATGTTGAAAAAAACGAAGGTGAGCAAGCAGGAGAATTTTCTTTCAGTAGGCAGGGTTTCAGTTTGTCTGCATTTCCTACCATCTCATTTGTTTACTCAGCATATTTATAAAAATTACTGCAGCTCCCCATCTATTACTGCAGTATTCTAATTAAAAGCTGAAAGGATACTGAGGACTCACTTGGAAAGGATTAGTGATCATGGAACAAACTGAAATGTCTGTCTGCTCCATACCACCAGGCAGCTTTTCTGCAGGTGAAGATAAAGAAGAGTAGCACAAGATTTGTTGAAAGAGTTTTTTAATGCTTCTTATCTTGTCTTACTATGGTGGTAAGTGTTGTCAAGGACTGTTTTGAGCAAGAAGTTGAATTACAGTCATCAAAAAGAATGAGGTCGTGCTATTGTCAGCAAAGACTACTGATGGCATAATGCAATGCTGTGTGCAATGAAAATTTAAAGAACAGGATAGATCTGCATTAAAGGAAGATTTTTCTTTTCTGGGCAGGGGTTTTCCCCTCTCTTTTTATAAGACAACTTTTTAATTAAAAACAAACAACAAACAAAAACCCCACAATGGGGAGGTTTTGTCATCATTTGGGAGTAAATAGAAGATACAACTTAGGGGTGGGTATCTCAAAGAAAAAAATAGCAGCCAAATCCTTTCTCAGGGAACTCTGTGTGCTTACATTTGTGAGCCCTAGACATGTGCTAAAAACACCTCCCTTTTCATTCCCAAAGCACTATTGCTTTGAACAGTATTCGGCAAGAATTCAGAAAAGCTGTACTTAAGCAGTGTGGCATTTAGAAGGCAGGTATAATGTAAAACCATTTCATTAAAAGTAAGTCACATCAGGACCCACTAGAAAAACAATTTATCCTGAAATGACTAAGAATTGATACATATATAATTGTTTTGCCATCACCTTTTCCAAAAAACATCACCCAACTAGACCTTAAAATTGTGCCCCAAAAGGTTATTTGGACACCAATGTTGCTCAGGCAAGTGGGAAGTCAGCTGATGTTCATTTCTACTTCTCAGGCAGTGACATCACAGGGAAGTCTTGCTTCACAATTTTTTGAATGGAAATATTTTCTTCTTTTTTATCTCCATATGAATGAGCATACTCACATTCGACAGGTGCACTCTTTGCTGGGTTAAAAAGCGGCTGGATGGTAGGGCCAGAGAGTGGTGGGAAATGGTGCCACATCCCGTTAGTGGATGGTCACTAGTGGGATTCCCCAGGACTCAGTTTTGGGGCCAGTACTGTTCTATATCTTTATTGATGATCTGGATGAGGACATTGAGTGTACCCTCAGACAGTTCACAGATGACACTAAGTTTGGTGGGAGTGTTGATCTGCTGGAGGGTAGGAAGGCTCTGCAGAGCTGGACAGGCTGGCTGGATGGGCTGAGACCAGCAGTATGAGATTCAACAAGCCCATGTGCTGGGTCCTGCACTTCGGTCACAAAAAATCCCGTCAGCTCCACAGGCTGGCGTAAGAGTGGCTGGAAAGTGGTCCAGTGTAAGAAGAAGACCTGGAAGTACTGGTCGACCGCTGAACATGAGCCAGCAATGTGCCCAGGTGGTCAAGAAGGCCAGTGGGATCCTGGCTTGTGTCAGAAATAGTACGGCCAGCAGGACCAGGGAAGTGATTGCCTCTCTGTGCTTGGAACTGAAGAGGCTGCATCTTGAATCCTCTGTCCAGTTTTGGGCCTCTCACTACATTGAGGTGCTGGAGTGTGTCCAGAGAAGGGTGACAAAGCTGGTGAAGGGTCTAGAGAGTAAGTCATATGAGGTGCAGCTGAGGGAGCTGGGGATTGTTTAGCCTGGAGAAAAGGAGGCACAGAGAGGACCTTATCACTTTCTACAACTACCTGAAAGGAGATTGTAGGGAGGTGGGGGTCAGTCTCATCTCCCAAGCAACTAGAGGATACAGCCTTAAGGTGCACCAGGGAAGGTTCATGTTGAACATCAGGAAGAGTTTCTTCACAGAAGCGGTTGTTAAACACTGGAATTGACTGCCCAGGGAGGTGATGGAGTCATCATTCCTGGAGGTGTTCAAGAAACTACTGAATGTGTCACTTACTGACATGATCTAGTCGACAAAGTGATGATCAGTCAAAGGTTGGCCTCAATGATCTTGGAGTTCTTTTCCAACCTTAATGATTCTG